CAAGTGGTTGGGTGGTTAAAAAAATGCAAATTGTTCTTTATGGGACAAGTTAACATTCAGGTCAAATCAACTCAAATTGTAGCCTTGACGGCTTCTCAATTCAAACAGCAAGCAATCTAAGAATTTAAATTTTTGAAAATATAAGAGGCAAAAATTAAAGTTATTTTTCCCATTTTTTTTAAATTCTTCCATGGGGTGGCTGTTGTTGGAAATGCTGGTATTTGTTGTACATCCCTAATTGCTGTCGAACTGAGAGTCTTGAGATGACATTTCAGAGGCCAAATAATTGCTGTGGGTCTTTTTTGCGGTGGGGGGGGCACTAATAACAATTCTCCTTTTAAACTCTATTTGCAGGAGAGTGTTAGTAATGAAAATGAAAACAAGAAATGCTACCCAAGTTGACACATGGACACTTAAGTGGGACTGCAGGACATAATTCAAAATTTAAAATTGGGTTTCCATTTACTATGGGGAGCCCCATTTAAATATGTCATTGCTACAGGATTTTCACCAGGGAATCAGGAGTGTTGACAGTGAAGCAAGGAGATGCCGGCTCCACTTCTTCTTGGCTTTGGATGTCCTGCTTCCTCAAGGAAGGCTTCAGTGTAACCTCTGCCAATTACAGCTTCTGTCCTCCTCTTGACAGGATCACTCATTTACCCTGTGTCCTTTCAAACTTCCAATAGATGATCTTTGCCCTTCAAGACTTCTGTGAAGAATTCCAAGGGTTCCTCTGCTACTGCTGTTCTGAATCACTAGTCAGCCAGCTTGCCAATTTGGCCAGAGGACAGGTAAAAATACATTATCAATGGGGTGTTTTGTTTTGTATGTTTAATGATAAACATGGCAGAAGATCACATTCGCCAACATGCTGGATTCTGTGGTTACTTTTTGGCCTACCTTGCACCTACCTTATAAATATCAGGTTCATTATAATGCAAAAGTTTACAGAACATCTATCACCTAGACATTGATGTAATCATTTTAAAACAGTAAGATGTTGAAACTGAAAATCATGATTTACAGCAGACTCTCAGAAAATGAATAATGCAGCCTAAACTAACTGATTTATACAAAGCTTGCAAGACATAGTTCAGTCCTCGGAGTGATGCAGTATGTGTGCAAATAGGAAACAAACAGCTGTTGCGATTAAAAAGAAAGGCTTGGATTTCTGTCAAAACTTCCACAGCATAATCTCTTGCTCCCCTAATGCATTAGTTGATACCTTAACACAAAAGACAGATCAAAAACAAGTTCATTTATCAGCAACCATCATAACTGTTGAGCAGGCAAATGAGCTGCACATGATTGGTAATACCAACCATGATCTCAAATGGATCAGCAGGTTATATCTACATATGCTTCATCCTTATTATCCGCTGGGAATAGGGATATCAACTCTTCGCGGATAACTAAAAAAGATACCACTCCAATCTACCTTCCCCATGTACTGCAAAGGACTGTGCAATTAAACTGGAAAAGTAAATGAGAAAAACAAAAAGGGGTCTGGGGCCGAAGCCACGAGTATGTGGATCTGTGGGCAACAAAGCAACAGATAATGAGGATGAAATGTAGACATGAACCCAAAAAATCCCCTTTATCAGAATATGATAACTAATAAAAAGTTACTGGAAGTAAACATCAAGGCTAATGTACTTGTATCATAAGGTATTGAAGAGGGATAATAAGGGAAATTTAACAGAATAATAACATTTTTAAATACACAGAGGTGACATTAGCTATAAAGACCAAAAGTAGGATCTGAATTTTGGGATTGGGAATTCAGCACTGGGATCAAATAGGGTCCCAAGCCTACACTGCACTGGAAGCTATTATACAGCTGTAATTTTCCACAAATTGGCCAACCGTTTAAAAAAAAAAACACAATCCAATTAAGGGTGGCTTGCAGGCTCTTAAAAATGGAAAACCAAAAGAACTGCGGATGCTGCAAATCAGGAACAAAAACAAAGTTGCTGGAAAAGCTCAACAGGTCTGGCAGCTTCTGGGAAGGAGAAAACAGAGTTAACATTTCGGGTCCGGTGACCGTTCCTCAGGATTGGGTTCTGAGGAAGGGTCGCCGGACCCGAAATGTGCACCTCTGTTTTCTCCTTCACAGATGCTGCCAGATCTGCTGAGCTTTTCCAGCAACTTTGTTTTTGTTCTTGAAAGTGGAAGGTCAGCCAAAGATGACCATCCAGCAAAAAAGAAGCAACTGCTTCCTGCTGTAGGTAAGAGAGGGATAGACAGAGACAGAGTGAGAGAGAGAGAGAGAAAAAAAGAAAGAATGAAAGAGTCAGAACTTAGCTGTGTCCCGCAGTCCCCAACTGCCAGGCTACCATCACGCAGTAGGCAGGGAGGTCCTCAAATCTTGCCTTAAGGGCAGACATCTCTTTTCTACCACCGGAGGCCAGCTTCAGGCAACTGGAATGTTCCAAGTGCCTTTAATTAGCCTGTTACCTAATTTGTCTATCCACCCGTGGGAGGCAGGTAACCTTTCATTGCCAGATGCTGTCTCCAGGAAAACAATCTGGGGATAGGACTATGCTAGCAAACTAGTATGCTGGTTAGCAATACAAAAGTAAGTGGTTCCAATACATCCTTTCTCACCCACATGATCAGAATATAAATATATCCAAGACCTCAGATTTACAATGTCCTTGAACTGGGAGGAGGAATGAGGTTAAATGGGCAAAGGAACCAAAGGTCATGTAACTATATAGGATCAAAATTTGACTGTGCTACCTTCAATGTATCGGAACACTGGCTACCTGGATCTGCTTAGCATGTTCTGTTTTCCCAATACTAGTTTGCACATACCAAGACATTAATTAATTTCATGCAGCAGCATGAATATCCTTTACTTTGATAGATTTATCATAGTAAATTTCACCACTTTGGTCTATTCACACAAGTCTGACAAATACTGTTTAAAGGCTTGGACATATCCCAAAATTGAGAATGTCAATGATTTCAGGTTAACTAATTCTTTACTGAAGATACACTACAATGACAAGGAGTATCGTACTTCAGCAAAACTACTTGCTTGTTAAAATAAGTTCAAAGTAAATATTTGAACAAAAGGTCAAACAAATTTGAAGCAAATTACTTTATTATCTAATCGAAGTTAGAATTTGTCATTCGGTATTTTAGCATTTGAATTGATTAAAAATCAGGAGTAAAAAGCCAATATCAGTGAAGCAAAAGGAACAATGAAGTTCTTCTAAGATGTCAACAATCCAACGGATTCACCGATAATCATTTAAGGAAGGAAAACTTCTGTCCTCACTCCATCTGTCTTACACTGAACTCCAGTAAAAACAGCAATGTGCTTGACCCAGCTTCCCGCCAAAGTAGCTTAACAATTAATTGATATGAAAACTGCTAAACAGGCCCACCACCACTTTCTCACAGCTATTAAGGACGTGCAGAGTTACCTAGCAATGCCCATATCCTAGAAACAAATAAACAATGATCAGACATTCAATTTCTTTTTCTTTCAATTACTCTTAATTCACATTTCACTTTAAGTACTGGTCAATTCTCTCATGTCTGTTTTAATGTAAGTTAGCAGATGTACCATTGCAAATCATCTTCATAGAGCAAATGCCAATGAGCTGCATCGTTAAAATATGACTTGACAAGGGCGGTTGAAGAAAAATAAATAATCAAATATTTGTGAACTAAAATTCCATACTCCAAGCTTTAGAATCTTGCTGGTGTATTCTAAAAACAGAACTTAGAAGTTCACATCACAGCTACTCTCATTGGACATAAACTGCTCTGCAAGTTACAACAGATCACATATCTAAAGAATAAGCAATTTGGCTGCATGCGTTATTTATGTCATTACTTCAAAGGCCAATTTTGCTTACAGATGAAATAGAATAATTATTATCACCAAGAACTTTAAATAAAATAATGAGCACCTCCTCAGTTCAGTTAGCATGAGCATAGCTAGTTATCAATGTATCTTATGACAATTAGTATATCTGACAAAAGATTAATGGAGGCTGGGAGAGGACTTCAAAGCTGTAATTTAATCAATGAGCTCTAAAGTCAAACTTTTAAAATAAAACTCGGCTGATTTAATGTCTGAACTAACTAAGCTATAAGAGATAATTATAGAGACATGTCACATGTCTCCAGTGACTTATACCCCAAATATCTCGAGGTTGCATGCTTGGAAGGAAGGTAAGAGGTTACAAGGGATTCATATAACAACCACCTAAAATACATAAAATTAAATGTACACAAGGCAAAAATTTGCAAAAAAATACAGAAATACTATATTAAGAATCTGTTCTCCTTAAATTTTCAGTGGGGGAATGGGATGCATAACTACTGTTGTATAACTTGTAAGTTTCAGAACAATATGGAAAGTATTTGGGGCCACATGTTAACAGAGTAAACTGCAACATTACATAAAAAGAATGGCATTCCATACAGGAATAGTCAAGACCATAAAACCAGATGACGTTCTTCCTTCCCTCCTATCCTGAGGGAGTTATTTAGGTCTGGGTATGGTTCCATTGCTGAAAACACCTCTCCAATACCTCCTATGAAAGTCATTGATTGTTAACAATCCTATACAGCAACAAGTGTCAGAAAGTCTGGCAAGATATCCATCTTTCAGGGACATCAAAGCTAAATCCAATTCTTTCCTCACATTATGCATACTTCTCACACAGTTAGATCATGGAATAGTAATCAGGAGAAATCAGTCCTGAGTAATTTATATTCTTACCTTCCACCAGGCTTGCTAGAGATTATCACTTGTGAATAATGTAGATATTTTCAAACAAAATTGTGTCCAAATACGTTCCACCACTTAATTATTGCAATCATAAATAAGCTTTTAAAGCAGCACTTCCACTTTTCATCAAATCATAAAAGCCAGTTTTTTTTTATTGCCAAATTAATTGGAATCATAACTAAAGCTACATCTTTACAATTAGTACAGACTTGCAACTCATTCATAGTCCAGTGATGCTTGTTACTTACCCATCTCCTTGGAAGCATGACTGTCGCTGGCAAGTTCACCCATCTTCACTAGGGCCTCAAAATAGCCTTTTGCAGCAAAGGTCATACCTGGAACATTGAGATTTCAAAAACTGTATTTGTTGATCAGACCTTTAAAATGCACGGGTACTCGAAAGTTATCTAGTTTCAGAGATCAAACTATTTACGCGCAATATTTCGCACGTGTCTAGTTTTTTTAATCATTCTGGCGTGGTTTGAAATTTTGACATTTTTACATTTTAGAGAAGAATTCCAAATAAGAAATCAATTTTGTTAATCTTTCAAATTATAGGTAGATTTATTTAACTTTGCATTTAGATTTCTAGGTTCTGTCAGACTTAAACTGGAAAATGAAGGCAACAACAGCAAAACAGCCTGTAGGAGAAACCATATCTTTGAAATGTTGATATACGTTTTGTAAAGTGTAGCTGGGATATATATTGATCAGAAGGTATTAGCCTAAATAAAAATCAAAGCACAACAAGCTATATATTGGTATACTCACCATCAACTAACAGCCAATCACATACACAAGTTAGAAAATAAAGCAATTTGGATTTTTGTTACACAAGTATAAGCATGGCTGACTGGATCATTTTCATGATACACTGTGTAGGTACATAAACTTTAAAGGACATATAGCAGGAACTGAATTACACAAATTGAAGTAACCAATGGGCTTCAATTAGAACATTTACATTAATAGTCCATGAAGTTTGATTGCTTTTATTTTAATTATTCCTAGATAATATTTACCGAACATTTAGAAAAACAATTGATTGGTCATCCAGTCCTAATAAGCTTGCTGTTTATCATTGTCAATTTCACATTCCCTTTTATCTCGATAAAGAAGAAGACAGGAAGTGTCAGTTTCCTTGAACAATATTAAAACTAAATCCAATTATCTAACTTAAATAAAAACAAAGCTGAATTAAATTCTGAAGTGTGCATTCCTAAAATTCAGTTTTATTCATAGTTGATGCATTGCAGGCTTTATCTTTCAATGAATTCTAAGCTGCTTTATTCCTGGAATAATTCTGAAATACCATCATCAACTGATACAAAAATATTAAGGATGAAACACATTACAGTAGTAGTATCACTTGTGTTACTGTCTGTATTAAATCTAAACTTTTCTTTCACAATACATATCCCAGTTTTACAACAATGATACGTATTGCCACTTTCATTAAGGATAATATTTTTAATAAATTAGTTCAAGCAAATTAGAACCAGTTATAAAAAAAACACCAAAAAGAGAAATATTAAATTTAATACATATTTCCAAATATTTGTAACATGCAGAGATTTAAATGGCCCATTATAGCTGAGTGAGAAGGGAACAACATATTACTTTCATTTCCACTGAGCTAAGAACATTGATCCCATGGTACAACAACTCAACTAGTTTTGTATGGCAGTCTCAAGGTAACATATCAAAAAATTTAAGACAAACATATCTTTTCTGTTATGGCAAAACAATTTCACTAAACAGATCTGTGCAAAGATCTCGGAAGAAATTACAGGTGATTAGCTGCACAGGTCCACAGTTTTGAAAATTCAGGATAATACAATCGTATTTACATTATTCCAGATCACTTGTACTTTGCAATATGAACACTTATATATATTATGCTGCTTAACCAAAAAAAGGGAATACCACACTCAACTTAATTTCAATGTGTGGGCTGCCCCTTCTTTGTTGCTCATTTCCATGAAATCTCCTTAGCCTAGCAGTAATCTAGCCAAGACCAAGGCCTTCAATATGCTGATTGGTTGACAAGGATCTTCTAGAGGGAAAGACAGAATTCTTGTCTACTTTCACATCATAAGATTAAAGGTTCTAGTCCAGCAAGACTTTTCTTAATTTCAAAGCAAATATGTGTTAAGGACACACTATAAATATGGCTGGAGGATCCCAAAATTAGACAATCCTGGTATTTGAACCAGACTCCGGTGATGAGTCTTACCACTGCACTTTTCAGACAATATACATGAATTTCTTGGGTTTCTTTGTAGCAGGAAAGTAATTTATACAACTCTGCACAGCAACCATTTACCTCGTCACACTATGAATTTTACACCACAAAATTACAATCAAAATATTCATTACAATAAAAAGAGTCACAAACAAAAATTCAGGGCTCGAATTTAATACTAGTTGGATAATCTAGTCATAAGGAGCATCTGCATATTGTCAAATCAGCCTGAAATGCAAGTAGTATATTGCCCATCAGGGGTTTCAAAAAAAAAACACAGTTCTGAATACATACTTTCACTCTCCATTACTCTGGTGTGGCTTTTTAAAAAAAATCAACATCAGTGATGGAATTAGGTGGTGGAGCAATAACAAAATGCAGCGCCCGTACATGCACGAATATACTTTGATTCATTGCACATACGGTAGTATTTCTCACCTGTTCTGGCTTTCTTGATCCAAATTTTCTCTGCACCCATGTGGCCTGAGGTAATGTTTGAGAAAAGGTTTGAGGAAAAACAGTAACAGTAAAAAAAAACAAAATTTAGGATGGTGTTCCCAGCAGAACTAGTGATAGCTACAACCACCAGTAAAAATTTACCATGGAAGCCACTTGGTTTTATTGAAGTTGTTTCAGTTTGGATTCCAGGAGACTGGCATCCAGGAAGTGGTTCCTGTCTCCTTTAACCTGACTGCAAAATCTGTAGACTTGTAAGTGTTGCCACCAGGCTGCAATTAGGAGCAGGATTTTCAAGCATCAAAACTAAAAGCTTGCTTACTGAATCCAAATTAAAACAATGGCAATATGAAAACATCTTAAGAAAGATTTAGATTCAAGCCCCAAGATTACTATTTATCTGAGTATTAGTGTTTTAATGACCTCCCATAGCAACAGTGGAATTTCAATTGGATAGGATTTGGAATTTTTACTAGCAAATGTGCTACCACAATAGTCTAACACCGAATCAAATCAAAAAGGAAACATTTAAATTGTACGCTTGTTTCAACTCAGTATCTCACTAGGGCTCCAAAAATGTTTTTTTTAGTAGTCTGCATATGCTATTATTTTAGTTGTTAACAGGTGAACTTTTCAAATTGCACAGTCATCAATTTTCTTGGATATTTGTAACATGCAGTTTAGATTTTGATACAAATGTTTTGTGTCAATCCAAGTAAATAAACTAACTGACATTGTTTTCTGTGCTACAGACTTTTTGTTTGGCATCAGCTAAGATATGCATCTGTAAACCCTGGGGCTGTATTGAAAGCTCTAGACCTCAACGTGCCTGCTGTGTGATATTGTACTCTGGCCATAAAAGCACAGAGTGCAAAGCAAGTAAGTTATGTAGAGCCTTCATAGAACACTACCTAGGCTCCAATTGGTGTGTTATGTCCAGTTTTAGGTATCATGTTTAGGAGGTCTGTCAAGGGTTTACAGAGATATAGAGGAGTTTTAACACAAGAGTCTCAAGGATAGAAGATTTACTTGCATTGAGGGATTAGAAAGACTGGTGTTGTATTCCTTTAATAGAGACAGTTTAATAAGAGACGCCCAAAAATCTCAATGCATTTTCGCAGTTTTTCCTTACAGACTCGCAAGTTACAATCTGGACTCCACTGCGTGAAAGGATACTTTAAGCAGATTCAGTAATAATTTTCAAAGTGAAATTGATTAATACTTGAAGTGGAAAAACTTCCAGTGCTATGGAAAGAGACCAAGAGTCGGACTAATTGAATGGTTCTTTCAAAAAGTCAATATTGGCACGATGGGCCAAATGGTCTCCGTTGTACTGCATTTTCAATGATTTTAGCTAATGTGTAATTCATACGTGTTTCTACATTGGTTCAATATCCACCTCAATCCTAAAAAAGAATTTCCTTGATAACAACCGTCATTATGCTCACTCAATTTTGATTGCAGTCTCTCCAAAAGAGAAAGAAACAATTATGATTGTGACCATAAATTCATTTGACAACTATTTACAGCTGTCATCATGGAGACTTTCAACTAATATCAATTCAGCATACTAATCATATTAAGCCTGACTTCCAGTCACTAAATTTTCAATAGTCTATTTGTCATCTCCATCCCATTTACACCTACCTTTTCAGCATAATTGTAAAAATAAAACAAGAGGTATTACTGGTGAAAAATTAACACAAGCAAAAAGATTCACATACACTTAACCAGTAATTGTTAGAATGAGTACACAGAGGAATCTTACAGACTTACAAAGAAGCAACACAACTGACTGTTTTTAAATAAGAAATCCACCCTACCTAGTGCAAAACTTACATCAGGCAAAAAAAAAATTAATACAACTCAGCATGTCTCATCCAAATCCAGATGTGAAAATAATCAAGTGGAATACATTGCTTGACATGACCTCTTCTGTACAGACGTTCCTGGTGCGGTACTGTTGAAGACATTAACTCTAAATTTCTGAATGTGTTCTTTCAGAAACTCTACAGCTTGCTGAAAGAGGCAGAAAATGGAGCTTCTGTTGCTCTGATATGCTGCTAAACTAATTTCACTAGCATGTCAAAGTTGCATTGTAGGAACCTGAAACTATCAAATTGAAACAATGGCAATATGAAAGATTCTTAAAAAAAATTTAGATTTGAGCCCTTGCTAAAATGATCTTTTTGTAGGCACTACATTTTACAGATACTAAATACAATATCTTAGTGCAGTTTTGTTTATTGCATAATGTTACTTGGCAGACAACATTAACTATAGAACATGGTTTCAGCTTGTACAGCTGATGGTATGGTACAGTAATTAAGACAGTCTCTAAAATTCACTGTGGTAAAGAGTTAAAATCGCAGCAGTGACCTCTACTATTCAAATCGTCCACTACATGGTGCACCAAGTTTCATTAATTCTCAGTAGGACCACTGAGTGGGAACAGTTTGGGCAGAAAAGGGACACTTCTGTCTCACTCCACAGCTACAAGCTGAGCAAAAAATCATTAGGATTAGAAGCTGTTGACGAGTCAGTGACCACATCACCCGCCTAGCCAGAGGAGAATGCATGCAGATGAGCAAACATACTTACACAAGGAAAAACAAACAAGGACAACGCAGACATTAATATAAATGGATATTAAAAAATAAAATCAGGTTATAAAGCATGATTAATATGTGAATGGACAAAACTTACTGCTAAGTGCCTTTTCATAAGACTTTCCCATTGCGATGAAGTTTTTCAAGCTGGGGTTGAATTGGTCCATAATAGTCTACAAAGACAAAATGGTGAAATTTTTTTCCTGGTCAATGTACAAGATTCAACTTATTTTTTTCCATCTCTGAAATCTTTCACATACTGGTTATAAATATTAATTGTTCAGACAAACTTGAAACATACAATAAGTGTTAGACAAAAATCACAGTTAATCCTTGCAAACCATTTCATGTGAAATTTGTACTTCTATTAAAAGTGGCAACTGTTTGAAGAGTTACACAAGTCATTACTGGTCATGTAATTTGTCTCATTACAAAGGATAAACATACAAAGTAGCATTCAATGTCATTAAACAATCAGTATAGCTTTGCTTTACATCATATAACAATAATTACAGGAGCATGAGCCATGATGTTCCACTAATGGATGAACAACTGGATTATGGTTTTTAAAAAGTTCATTTCTATAATGTAATTCTGATACAAATTGCCCAGAGAAGTGTCGTGATGGCAATAATAGATTGTTTGTAAAACTATTTAGTTTTATAACCACGAATTCTAAAGTATTATTTGGATAACTGTCAAAATTAGAGCTGTCAAATGAAACCAAATTAGTGTTTAATATTCTAATTTTTCACCCATATTACAGTTCCGTACCTAATGCATAATTAATGAGTTATCCTGTTTCATATTGACTGAGATACTTCCTTTCAACACATTGTTTTGAAAAGGAATGCACAAACAAGTAGTGAGTTTCAGTATCAGATACTTATTTAAAATCCACCCATCTTAGTTTCAGGGTGTGAAAGAGATAGTGTTGCATATTGGACACATTTAGCTTTTTATAAAATGATCTACTGTCTTCTCTGTCCAAATTTATTCTCTTGTCAGAACTCCTACCTGTTTCCTGGAGCTATTGCAGGGAGGCAGATGGCCCCTCTCTCAGCACTTATACATCACATCTTGGTCATGATTAAAAACTCAGTTCAAAATAGTTCATTACATCTGACTTTTGGATCATCACTTCAAGGTTAAGGTAAAAACTTCATATAAATTAATGCTCATTAATCTGACTGACTATTAAAGCAATAATTACACTGCAAGTTTCATTATCTATTACGGGTTTGTGAGATAGGAAAACTGTTTGGAATTCTCTACATGACGACCACCTGAATTCCATTAAATTGCTGGGGGCAATACTAAGTGCATGGCAAATGTTTCCTGGAGGGAAGAGATGGAAATCTAAAGCTAATCAGAGATAGTAGGAACTGCAGATGCTGGAGAATCCGAGACAACAAGGTGCAGGGCTGGATGAACACAGCAGGCCAAGCAGCA